TCAATATCATTAATGTAAATTAGGAACAATAGTGGTCCTAAAATTGAACCCTGCGGTACCCCACTATGAACGCAGTTATTCCATAGTCTGAAGATTACCAAGAACTAAAGAACATGCAAGTGCTTTTGATGGATCAGTACTGACCGCCATTGGGGTAGTCCCCTTCTGGTCCGGTGCCATTGGTGGGTGTTGGCCCGCGATGGCGGGTCCAATCGCTGTCATCATTAATGTCTTGCCGAAATTGGCAGAAAGGAGCGTTGTCGTTGTTAAAGTCACATGATGTCAGGACAGCTACGGGGTAAAAATTGAGGAAATCTCAATGTAAGGACCACTTCGGAAACTATTTACAGCATGGAAACACAACTGTTATACATCAGTAGTAGTATTTTATTATGATCTAAAAATGCAAGCTTTAAGTGATCCCAAATTGCTCTCAGTATCTGATTTAAGTGAGGGCCAGGAAACAGGTTAATACCCCATACAGTGTGTTTCCTGCTTTTTGTCCTACATCTCTCTAGATGCGCATTGAACTTTTGTGGCTTTCGATTGATAAGTAATTACTGAAAATAGGTGTAGGAACTGGACCAATATACATGTTTCGATCTGTTACACTTGTGACATCACCAAAACCTTTCAAGGATGTTGCAATATCTTCAATGTGGTTATATTGCTGTTTTAATTTGCTAATAAAAGTGTCAATGATTAACAGTTTCTCATGGGTGTAACACAGTGTCTTTCTGTCACTAAATGGCTCTGTTGCCTTTATAAATTTCATTATCTAGTTACATTTTTATTTCTACTGGATAAGAAGTTGAGCAAGGTTGATTGTGTGTGTGTTTTATCAGAAGGAGAACCTCAATGCTGTCTTGTAGCACAGTCTGGACCAGAACCACAATTTTCCTGTCCCAAAAAGGAACTATACTCCTTACTTTCTAACACGTATTCACTTACCATTTTCTTCTCTTGTTAATGACTGTTTTACATTCCTTCAGAAAAGAAAATAAGAAGTACAATGAATGTCATGGAAAATGCTGGCATTACAGGTCGTTGTCAGTTCCTGTGTGATAATGTGTGTCATTAGAAACTCATCGTTTTGAAAATAACCTCGTGCATTTTATAGAATAATACTTTGTTCATCTCCGTGGGGAAAATATCTTCTTGCCTGCCCCCTCTTGCTCTCCATGAGACACATGCATGGGTGAGAGCAAGCATGGGGGGGTCACAGTGCCAGGGTCAACCACAACAACTGGGAGCAACACCAGGAGCTAGGGTTTAAGGGCCCAATGGACATATGACTATTTTGCTGAGGCTGGGGCTTGAACTGGCAGCCTTTCCATCATAGACACAGAGGATTAACCCGCCGGGCCACACACCAGTACCCTACATCTTTTATTATATGCATCTTTTTTGCACAAAAATGTATTGTTCTTCATTCCTTCACTGGCCTTCCATGACTGGTTATCTGGTACTGGGTCATTATGAGTCAGGAGGCTGGCTGATGCCCTCACTCTCATGACATTTAGTCTGGGCATATGATGCTGCAATAAAAACAAACCCCAGAAAAGATCACCTCATGTAATCAGTGTCCCATCCATTGGGGTTATTCTGAGGTTACACAGCTAGCATGCACACCGCGAGGGCTACTGTCAGATGATTTAGAAATCCAAGTAAAAAATTACCCCAAATACATTGATTACCAGGAATACTCTACTGAACAGAAGCAGTGATATTTCCATAAATATAGAGTCTGAAACACAATCCCTCTAATGTCGATATCTAATTCTGAGGTAATTTCCAGATATTATCATTTATAAACAGTTTGACCTTTATAGACATGTCTTGTTGCCATTTATGTTTTAATGCTATGTTTGTGAAAAATTACTCTGACCGACAAAATATTTTGCAAAATTACCTTCAAAGGCAATTTTTAATAAGCAAACAAATAAAGACATGTAATTATTGAACAAAAATAAAAATTAGTAAACATATAAGAAAGCCAACCATATTACAAACAAAAATATTTTGCTTACCAATCATATGTTTTTGTTATTGCGTTATAACCACTTATCCAAGCGAGAATTAATATGAATCTAATTTGATCCATAGCTAACTTAAGTTGGTAAGTTAGCTGAAAAGATGAGATGGGATCAATGACTGAGCCTTTTATATACTTGGCATGGTTTGAATGAGGATGTTGATAGGGGAAAGGGAGGTTGGGGGGATTTTGCACTTTTCCCGCATTATACACATAGATAGTTGTAAGCCAAATCGTCAATCAGTAACTGTCCGAGATTAAAACGGAGGGTGCGTACCAGCTGAGAGTTGTTTTTCTACAGGGTAACAGTATCCTAGTGTTGGTAGGTGTGTCAGTAACCCCACTGAACTGCTCCACGTGTAGATTTCATGTATAAAACCCATTGCGCAAAAGCACCCACCCTTATTCGAAGGTGTCCAAGGTTCCCTCAAGTGCCACCTGTCACGTAATGTAGACTAGTGTCCCAAAGCCACACAGCATCCATTTGTTAAACCCTGTTATTTTACCTAAATAAATCATAACCATCACGTCACTCAGCTACCCACAAGAAAAGGTTATCATCTTGATTAAGAGACAAAAGCAGCTTACATCAGGCACCAGAGAACAAATAGGTCTTGCTGTATTTGACTGGGGAAATGTGCTTAGCTCAGACTGCTGTACTGAAACACCTAGCTCAAAGTAGTAAAAAGCAGCAAAGTCACTTTGGATAAAATCAGCATCTATGTAATGTAACTTCACAAGATAACAAGAAAGATGGAATGCAAATCAAGAGGGCCACTTTATTAGAGGTTATAATGGTGAACAAATAGCTCCCAAAGCCATGATAAAAAAACATCCTGAAATAAATTTCTTGAGGGGTTGTGTGAATTTCTAGCGAGTTTCAGGCCATAGGCTCAAATCCCAAATTTTGTACATGATAGAGTACTCATATCACCCTTAACTCTGATTGGTGACCCTCCTCTGTGACCCCAAGCTTTTCTCTTAAATGTTGCTTTTGAGTGGGGTTTCACAATCCGGTCCTCAGGGACCCACATGCAGTCCACTTTTTTGCTTCTTAGGGAGTAGGGAGGGAGCTCAAGAAATGTTGACTGTTGGGAAGAGAGCTCGGAGGGAGCAAAAACTTGGACCGACTGTGGGTCCCCAAACTGGACTGGGAAACATTGTATTAGAGAAAAGTGTCTAATAAATATATATAACGTAAAACTCCTTAGGTAGTTTACAACCAGCCAAAAGAACCTTTAACTTTCAACATTCTCACACTATATTTCATGTGTTACGTGCTGAAATCGGCATGGAATGGAGAAGAGGAGCGGGAGTCCAGGAAGTCGGGGAAGGGAAGGATTTATTGAGGAAACACTTACGGGGGACACAGTCGAGTACACGGGACAAACAGGCAGTAACGTCAATGACAGGACTGGGGGAAGATGAACAGGGAAGTACTTAAATACACCAGACTACATTGAACAAAACTAGACACAGCCGGTGACATGGGGATTTCATGCGGGGCAGTGAGGGAGGGGGGCGTGGCACACGGGAATCAGACGAGCAGGGCATGACATCATGTATCACACAAGCAAGATAAAGACTGTCTTACGGTATCTTTTCATAAAGATACTGTAAGTGACAGGGAAAGTTGTCCCTAACCTGAAATCAATTTCAAGTCAGACTTTTCTAAAAAATAAATCAACCCAAAGACTTGAGCTGTTGAATGTTACAGGTGCATAACCCACAATGTTAAAATGACTTTGTCTCCTCAGATGGTGTATTGATGGTTTAAACATGTTTTTAAGAATATAAAAAGCCAAAATGTTGTTATTGAGTGAAGCCATTGCTGTATTACTAGAAAACTAAAGCATTTAACCTGAATCATATGAAACGTATAATATTAAGAATATGTTTTCTTGTTATAAACGAAGAAGCAGGAAAAAGTTTTGGTGGTTTCCAGGACTTCCTTCATCTTGTTGTAGATTTTCCCTGAAAATCAGCACACTATCAGTGCTGCACAATCACGCCCAGCTCCACCCTAGTGATAAGCATTTTACTCAGTGCATTACTCACATTCCGCAGTGCAGTGCAAAGTATTCGTATACCACACCAAACTGTACTTTTTGTTTAGGAATAATAATATACAAGATGAGAATACAATGTAAATTTAAATTTTAAATTAACTGTTTTTAATTATAATCAAAGCAGTGCTGGTATAAAATCCCTCTGTATTTACTCATCCAAATTACGTGTAAAGCATCTGCTCTCTACACTCATATCACTGAAAACCTGGGCTCTGCTTTATGACCTAGAAAATGAACTTTTTCCACATCCCATGCAAGAACAGTACTGATGATTCCTCAGGTATGACTACACAGAGTAGTATGTTCAAAGGCCATATGAACACTATAGGTTAACTTTGCACTAGCTGTCTCTGATTTAATGTATAACGCAAATGGCCACCTATTCACGCACATGGACACACCCAAACAAACAGAGGAAGCGACAATAACAATTAGTAATTATGTCACATTCTACTGGGGTAGTGGAGTGGTGGCATTGAGGCTAGGGAATTGGTCATCGGAAGGTTGCTGGTTTGAATCATGTAAATGTCAAATGTTTTGTCCTGGGCATGATGTTTTGTCCAGGGGCACTGGGCGGCAGGGAAGCCGTCACTCGTGTAGGGGCCAGAAACGACAGTGAAGGCTTGGTGTGAGAAGGGGCAGAGGGCAGGGTGGTGTGTGCACTGCATGGTGTGGCACTGTGTGGTGAAGGCTGGACAGTGAATACATTGCATGCTGTAGCGCAGCACTGCGTAAAAAGCCAATGATGGGTAAGATTCCTGTGTGAGTGCAGGAACAACCTAAGACAGGTGCTGTTGTAGACCCCTGGCACCGGGCTGAGGGACTGTTCGGGGTTTGGCCTGCTGCCGGTCCCATGGGAGTTGCATGTGTTGCTTTCAGAAAGTGTGTATGTGATAAAGGGTGTGGTGCTGGAATATAACTGGATTATACAACTGTGTGCTCTTTCAAGACAAATTCTCTTGCTTGTTCTACTCACAAAGGATTTACTTGCCTTGTAAATTCTATGAGCCTGTATAATAATGGAAAGACAAGGAATCACACGCAAACACTTCAGGTTTATTGCACAGACCTGTGCACCTGTCACACACCTATGACCTGTGGAATCCTTCCCTTCAGCTGAAGGAGTATTCTATGACTTTTCCCCTAACCCAGCTACTCTCAAGTGTTAGAAATTCATTATTTTCATCGTAATTCGTTTCAATGATGTAATCAAATGGTGGTAAGTTTTAGTTATGCAAACTCTGGACTACTTAGTTTCCTTTGCTGTTAGTTTTCACTCTCATTGTGTCCCCCAAATTCTAGCTCCTTCTGACCCAAGGATGAAGTTACATTTCACAATCTGTAATTTTCTGAGTTCCAAACCACACATACCGTTTTACTTTCCAAGTCAATATGATCCTGTAATATACGGGATTGGTGGGAAATTAAATGCTCTACTGCACTGACATGTTCCTTTTGCACAATAAAATTTCAGAACAAATAGTGGATGATCTTATTTTCAGTATATACATGATATTAGCTGCACTCAACAAGAACATTATTTACAAATCAAAGCATTTTGAAATAGAACTCTTGCCGCTTTCATTTAGAATATGTCAATGGCTTGTCCACAAACTATCAAGGAATATTGGCGAATAAGTAAATTTATCTTGAATGATGGCTGATGAGTATAAAGTATATTAGCTTAGTGAAGCAGAAAGTGTTTTGCTTCAATGAAATTCCTTTCAACAATGTAATGGTGGTGCCATTTTGCACAATACTTTGTTTTTTTTTTTTTTTTTCCTTTTTGGTTTGACAGGAAAATGCTCCTGATGATGAAAGATTGGCATTAAAAAGATATCCGGTCTACCTCCTCGAAATGAAGTTGAGAACAAGCTGCCTGCATGGAAATCCCACCTCCTGATGACCAGGGTCTCTTTCTGTGCAGGACATCCTACAGACATGTTTAATATCTCCCTCAGCCAGATTGTCATCCGCTCATCCTTTAAAACAGCCAACATCATCCCAAAACCAAATGAACCAAACAAAGATGGCAGCCTTAATGACTACCATCCCGTAGCACTAAGGGGATAACTTTGGGTTGAGCATTGGGGGGGGGGTCTCCACCCATTTAAGGGGGTGTAGAGGGGTTTATTGGCTGGTTTTTAATGCTGGGGAGTTACAACCCCCCCATAATTTACACCCATGCGTAGCACATCAACCATCATTGTGACCAGTGCTTTGAGAGACTAATCATGGGGCACATTAAAGTCAGCTTTTCCACCGTATTGGATCCAGTTTGCACATCTCCATAGTTACTCCACAGAGGACGCAATATCAGCCCCACTCCATCTAGCCTTAGCATACCTGGACAACAGAAATCTCTATGTCAGGATGCTGTTGATAGACTTCAGCTCAGCATTCAGTACAATCATTTCACAAACTCTAATGCACAAACTGGAAGGGCTTAGTATAAACTGAGAACAGATGTCCCCCAGGACTGTGTGCTCAGCCCACTACTCTTCACTATGCTGAACTTGGGATGGAGGAGCACATATAAACACTGGTAATGAGGACTACCTGAGAGGCAGGTATGGGAAATAACAATAAACGCATAATAAGGCATGATAAACTGCTGGAATAAATGCCAAAGAAAGGGCACAGCCAGCAGTGACATCTGCTGGTCAAACAGGAGCAGAACGGTGATGACGGAGACAGATCATGACGCCACTGCTAAGAGCATAATTATCATGTCTGTCGGAGAAAGCACAACCCAGATGCAGCTTTAGGCTGAGCAGAAATGGGCTTTATTGGGAAGATATACAGAGAACCAGAAAACAAAGAACCGTGAGGGTTCTAAACAGAGAGCAGAAAGGAACAATGAGGCAGAAGCAGTGTGAAGCAGCCCACAGGGATCACTGCAGGAACAGGAAACACAAGAAGCAGAGAGAACACTAAACATCCATAAGAGCAACAATGATCGAGCTGGGGAACACAGAGAGAGCAGGCACATATATACACAGATAAAGAGGGACTAACAAAAGGCAGGTGTGGGTGATCATCACATTAAGCTGAGAACAACTAGGTGATTACAGGATGGCCAGCAACCTCTGCTGGCCAAACGGGGACATGACAATAATAGGACCATGATATAAACTGGGATGAAATGGTTACTGACGGTTAGTATTACTATTTCAAATTTTAATTATCCTTAAAACCATGGTTCATTACCACGCTTTGAAAACTTTACATTAAATATCGTCCAGCATCAACCAAAGTTAGCAACAGTCTCTTAGACACAGGCGCGCACATTGAGCATGTAACCTGGGTTTGTTATGTGTCAGTGAAAACATGGCAGAAGGCAATCACAATGCTCCGGAAATGTTTAATGTTAATGCACATTTGACATGGTTTTCGTATGTTTACCTAAGGTACTGGCAATGTTATTATTTTAATGTTTATGCAAACAAAAAGTGCAGCGTGCATAAAACTTCTCAGTTTGTGTATCAGTACATTTTGAACATTTTCAGCATGTTTTAACAATACCACAATATTGATAATGTGATCATTTTGATCACTATTATCTTGATACTAAATTTTCATATAGTTTCATATCTACACATGAGGAGTCATTAAAATGAATATACAAATACATTTCCAGATGGAGTAAAGAAAAGGAGAGAGTGAGTATTAGCGGTGTGCCTCGATCTGTCACATATCCCTGAATCAGGAGCACGAATAGCTTACTGTGTGGTGCCACCTGCTGTATCACTGGGGATATTCTGTCTATATCTGCTCTCTAGAAATCTCTGAATTTAAGACTTTATCTGACTGCATTCATGGGAGTCTTAAAACAAAACAATTATCCTCTAGATCAAGAAATATCCAGAGTTTTTATTCCATTATTTATAACAAATATGAAAAAACGTTCAAATTTATCAGTAAAATGGCCCGATAATATGCTGTCTCGGCAAATTGTAACACAGTTGACTAAGAAGTTGCATTACAGGGTTTCTGATACTTATGGGACTAGGATATTTATGCTTTTATTCATATTAACTGGCTCATTAAATGTGCTAAAAGGGTTAGCTCAGGGTTGTATTTTATAACACTTATAAATTAACAGGAACAACATACAATGGCTAAAAAAATACACACCTTTGTAAAAAAAAGCCAGGGTTTCCAAGCTTCAATGTGACATACAACCTGTACAATTCAACTGAAAAACAAACAAATCTGTTAGAAGGAAAAATATTTTTAAAAAATTAAAAAAACATACAATAAGCTGGTTGTATAAGTGTGCACACCCGTAAACTAATACTTTATTGAAGCACCAACATGTAGCAGTTATTTTGTTATAAAGTATTTTATAACAAACATGTGAAGGATATCCATTGATTCTTAAATGCCTTTACGTGACACATCTCTGAACAACATAAAAATAAGCGGATTTGACGTCATGTGCCCCTCCTGTCCTTGCAAAATCTAACTTGGTCAGTTTTGACATTCATGTCTATGGAATACAAAGAATATTCCTTAATAATTGGCTTGCTTCATTCCTATTTAGACTAATGAAAAAATCTGATTGGTTGGCGTTTGCCCATTCTTGGGGTGGGTTAACGTCGTGATTGGGTGGGCCAGTGTGGACCTTCAATGAATTCGGCACTCAACACTCAAATTCTTCTGTACAAGGCTTTTGTCTGAAAATCCATTTGGAATAGGCTTTCCCGCCCCCTGAAAGCTCATGTGGAAAACGCAGTAAAAACCTATTAATTACAATCCCGTACTTTTTTCAACTTCACCAAATCAGCAGTTGACTCTACGTATTTATTACACATCATACATAGTAATACTTTTGAAAATCTAAACACTACACTACTATACATACTATAAATACTTGCAAACAAACCCATATATGGTGTAGCTGCGATGGCCGAGTGGTTAAGGCGTTGGACTTGAAATCCAATGGGGTTTCCCCGCGCAGGTTCGAACCCTGCTCGCAGCGGCGGGCGATAGTTTTGCAGCTTCTGGCTCATATGTCATAAGTCACGCTTTCCACTTCGCTGAACCAGAAAATGTCACGTAGAAATACTATTCCCTACAGAATAGCATAGTCGCTCATCTGAGAGAAAAAAGAATTAGATGTGAAGACTACTAGATTTGCGGTTTGCAGTGTTTGGGTTAGCTATATGACAGAGATTTTCCAGAAAGGAAATAAGCACAGATTTCAGAGACTTCCTGAAATTGTGGGTCTTCTACCGGACAGAGTATATATTCGATATTAGAACCCAACCGATTGTGTGCCCCTCCTGACCTTGCAAAATTGAACTTGGACAGTTTTGACATTCATATCTATGGAATACAAAGTATCTTCCTTAATGACTCGCTTGCTTCATTCCTATTTAGACTAATGAAAAAAACTGATTGGTCAGCATTTGCCCAGTTTTGGGGAGGGTTAACCTTGTGATTGGGTGGGCCAGTGTGGACCTTCAATGAATTGGCCCTGTTTGTAACACTCAAATTCTACTGTACAAGGCTTTTGTTGGAAAATCCATTTGGAACAGGCTTCCCCCTTGTTGGTTAATGTGGAATACGCAGCAATGCCCTATTAATTACAATCCCGTAGTTTTTTTCAATTTTACCAAATCGACAGTTGACATTACATATTACTTAATAGACACAGAAATACGTTTTAAAACTTAAAACACTATACACCACTATGCATACAAATATTTAGAAGCGAACTCGCCAGTAACCGGACTGCTGAAGCAGTTTTTACCGTTTGCAAACCAAATCCTAACATGTCCAGATAATTCTAAGTCATATCCAAACAAATGGTAACGTCACATTGTCATGTGATCACTGACTGCACGTGATTTTACGTTTTGGCGGTAAAAAGACACTCAGTAGATAAACGTTCGGTTTTTTGCCTATTCGCCTGTAATAGAGGATTGGTCTACAAGGTAAGATGTGAAGTCGTGTAGTATTACACATATTAATTATTTGTTAATGTCCTTTATGAGCTAGCTGGTTCATTAATGCGTCTGCTGTTCTGTAAATATTGTTATACATCAAAAACATTTTTTTCAATTACATGAGTTAGAGGTTAGCTCTGGGTTGTTGATAGAAATGCATATCCCAGTTTCGATCATATTGCGGCTTATTTCCTAAAAGCAGCATTATTGCTCAAATTTCCTGCAGTAAGAGTAGCATGAACGCAGTTTTGATTGGGATGAAATAAATCACTGGATTCAATTACAAAACATACGAACTTAAACTTGTACACAAATTCAAACTTGTACACAAAGTTTGCTTTTGCATGGTCGTATTTTATAACGATAGTGTGAAGGATGAGCTTCTTAATTAGTCTTTTACTTGTGATTACATCAGCAGTTAACTGAATGACTGTATCTAAAATAATATGACAGTAATACCAGATTTTCTAAATTGTCATGTGAACTACATTTTATGAAAGTGACCTGTAATGTCTTGTGGGAATTTGCAGACATGACAGACTGGTAAACCTGACTCATAATAGTCAGATACTATGCTCCAGTATATCCAAGAAAAATACTGGTTTAGTACTGGCAAGAAGCCTGGAAGCAAGAAGTGGAAGGGTGTGCTGCAACAGATTGATTCATGCCCATTACAATATCTGGGGAAAATGCATAGCTTGTAAATGTGGGTGTCACAAGGTATGTCATGAAAACGTCAATCCTGATTTTGGTGTGAGGGGGCCTGATCTTTGTGACTGATGCCATAAAAAATTGCACGGATTTGTCTGGCATTTTCAATTTCTGGATTCCACAATACTGAAAATATACTTGTATTAAAATAATTACCTTAAAGTGAACATTATACCTTAAACTCTGGTTTCTGGATGGTACATTAACTTTAATAAATATCCATGGGTAAATGGAGCACAGAAAACTTCTGAGAGAAACGTCCATCTAATAACCACCTACCCAGTACAATGATTTTTATATTTTAAACTCACTATGCAGCACAATATGTGCACTAGTTACCCAAGGAAGCAAAATGGTCTCCAGCATATTCAGCTGTACCAGAAGCGGGTTCAATTACATGATAACATTAAGTGGAAAATTTTAAATAAAAATAAAAAATCTCAAAAATGGGCTATTGTGAAAAACTGTCTCTAGCCCACAACCTGTTGATGAGAATGAATACATTTGATAAGTAATTTTCCAAGTACAGCTAGAAAACTCAACATACATTGTCTGTCAGAGGAGCATTTTTAATAATTTCTATTTAGCAATACACATACAAACAAAATAAGATGTCTGGTGTCCATCCTGGGTGAGAAATTAAGAGCAAAATTCCATCAGCCTCACTTTATGATCTTGGTTCTTAAATTTAAGTATAAAACAATGAAATTAAAGAGGCAGAAATAAATAGTGAAAACATCCTGAACTGAGTTACACGAATTAAGATACCTGTGTTACGGTCTAAATTATTACAGACAACACAAAAGTGGTACGTTTCTGGACTAATAACCTCTATGTTTTGCATGAATCCTGTAGATCAGTGTTTCTAAACCCAGTCCCCATGGACCCCCAGACGAGTCACATTTTTGCTCCCCCTCTTCTCCCAACACACTTGTACCAGGTATTTGCTGTTCTTGATTGTGTGCTGGGAGGGAGGAAAAATATATGGACTATCTTGGCGTCCCTGGAGGCTGGGTCAAGAAACATTGCTGTAGATTAACAGTAGGCCTGTGGATCACAAGCAGCAGGCCGCTTCAGCTTGGGAAGCACCATAATTTCAGACAGCCAGGTCATCATCTGGGTCCTCTGGGTCAAAGTCATCGCTGGCATCAGGATCGTAAACAATTCGGCCTGAACCAGGACGAGGCTGAAGTAGGGCAGACTTCCTGTACAGGGAAAGAAGAGAGCAACGCTGCAATGATGAGCAATATGATCGAACGTTATTCAGCTTGGCAATCATCTGAGATGACTAACCTTGTGTATTGTCAGTGACAACTCTGGTAAATGAGTGCAAACGATGCATTTCTACAATAACTATTCTGGATCTCAACAATGTGCAAATTCTAGAGACCGAAAGAAAAAAAAGCATCCTTGTACATCAAATAAAGTGTCATGGTACATTAGATCTGGATGAAAATATACTAACTGAATAGTGTCAAATGCACACTAAGAAAGAAAAGAAAAAAAGACTTGAGACTTAGTAAGACAGAAAAAAAGCAATACTACATTTTCTGGATATTTCATTAGCCAAAGTAGGCTAAGCCAGATCACAATAACATATTATGCATTCAGTGTTACCACAGTTACATTGTTATACATAAAAAGCTGTATTAGGCTAATAATTGGAGGGTAAATATGTGTATTTACTTCTCTGCACTGAACACAAAAGGAAGAGACAACTTTTCTTTGGCTTCTTTTTCACCCTCGGACAAGCGAAGGTTAAAGGTCAAGTTGGCAGCAGGATCTACCTAAGTAAAGAAACACTGATTAATGTGCTATATTCACATAAAAATGTTGCAGTATACTTTCATGGACTTTTCTGAAGAAGTGTGTAACTGCTTATTCGAGACAGTGTAATGGGAGATTAGTTAACATTATTTCATGGTTTATTGCAAGTTTACACAAATTCAGACTTAAGTGATCTCAATGTATGGAAGAGTGCTATGTAAATAAACTTGTCTTGCCCTATCTGCGTCAGCGTTTGCAATTCCAGAAGTTACATTTCATTTTTGGATTGTGCGTGTGTGTGTGGCTGGGTCTAAATCCAAACACAGCTGGCTATTGTGCATGATGACTATTGAAAAATGGATGACCGTATGCCTCTTACTTCACGCTCGTCTTCCTCAGTCTGCGGACGCCCATGATGGCTGGGCCGGGATTCGACAGTGACCGTCAGATCCTCCTTAACACTGAAGTACTCCTCCTGGTAACACAAACAGAAACTATGACCAATGGGCTTCAGCTTACAGCTGGTTACAGTCTACAAATGCTCTTGGCTCAGTCGATATCTGCTAACACTCTTATAATTTCACCTTTTATTTCATGATGCTAAAAGTGCTATTTGCAATGTTACAAATGGGAATGCAAGAAAAGGGCACCAAGATTTTGAGGATGTCCCCAATTCCACTATAGCGGAACAGCAAAATCAGTTACTATAGATTTACAATGATGGCACTGAGGTCAAGCAACTACCGCCCTGGAAAAAATGTAGAGACCACTCTAGATATACACCATTGTCTAAATCTGCATTTTCAAATCTTGGATTAATCCTGGTTCTGCTGACAGAAAGCTACACTGAGCCTGCAGGTTGCTAACAGGCTCAAAATTTCTAAGACACCAGCACACAAGAACAAGGTGAAGCAGGAGACAATGGGAATGCTCAAAAACCAGCCAGGTAGAGGGTGGAAGCGACTTTCTAATGCCAGAGATGACCGTCAACTTATCCGACAGTTTCTCATGAATCGAAGGATGACATCAAAATGAATAGGAAACATTAAGTGATGTGAAGTGCACTGCTGGGACAGTTTGTATCAGGCTCCTAGAAGCAGGACCGAAGACCCATAAAGAATGGATGAAGCCCTTCATTAATGAGAAACAGAGAAGAACAAGGCTGCAGTTTGCTATATTCACAGACGCACACACATAAATTGAGAAATGAGTGAAACAAAAATTGTGTTGTGGTCTCTTCAATTTTTCCAGAGTTGTATACGAGACACTAGCCTCTTTTATGTCCACAGCATAAGATTCCTGATGCTTCCTACCTCGTGAGTAACCTTGCCAGATTTGGTACGTCTGGTTGTCTTGGCAACGGCCTGCTGACCCCTGTCTCCTGGTACCACAGATATAACAGCAGTAGCCAGATGGCACAAACTACCCACGATGCCCTGTTGGTGCAGATCGCAGTGCAGCAATGCCACCACTCTCCTCAGTGCTCCACCTTGTGGATAAAAAATTTTTCATACAAACCATGAGGAGGTCAAGTTTCTCCACCATTACTTACATTTTTATAAGTGTTTACCTAAATCATTTTAGATTAACTGGAATAACCTCTCCTGAGTTCCTGTAGTCGCTGGCAGACAACAGCAGGTGGGTGGTGCCTCAAAATCCAGGAAAGTGAATCTATGACAAGTGTTGCTGGTTTCGACTCCTCCGACCCACTCAGGTGGACATTGAGCTCCTCAGATATGAACTGATGAACAGTGAAAAGTGGATGTTCAGACCAGCCTAGTGGGTCGGTGTAGCCATTGTGGACACACAGCCTACATCAAAAAAAGGGAGGGAGGGGCTTAACGGTGGAGTTTAACACGAACCCAGGTTAGGTACTCAGGACAGACGCCACACATGTACACACAGTGTACCTAAGCTCAGCGTGAGCTATGCTAATCCACAGACTTCATTGCTTACTTTACAATTTACCTTTGCTCGCATTTCCTGTCAAGTCTCAGTCTTACATCCTCTTCACAAACTTCAAATGCGAGCACGTGGACATCCTCCTCCCTAAAATACAATTATTCGCTTGTTTCTGTATATTTTATTTAGTTCCCCTGAAGAATAGACTGGATTTTAGCGCGGGAAAAATGCACAAACGTCACCAAAATATTATTCAACGGCAGACTGCTTAGCAGAAACATAAACATTATAGTGGTTTCAGAAAAAAAACAACGCCCATGCATTGGAAGACTTGCCGGATAAATTTAAACATAATACTAGAATTACCTAGTAGTACAATAAATGTTGCGGTTGATTGTTAAAATACACTTCATGTGACCCTCTGTATTACTTAATTTGTAACATGCCACATCCTGAGAGCAATGCGTCGGTCACGAAAAGTAAATAGATGCATTGATTAAAAAAAATAAAAAACGATTTCTTACCGATGCAGGGCAGCGGCGATGCAGCTCTGGAGAAGCTGCCGTCCACAGCACTCCACCGTGTCTGTAGGGTCGAGGTTTTAGATTTAAAGGACTCCTCAAAATGTTCAGAAATACCTTATACACGTCATGTACACATTTTAAAAGTGTTACAAATGTAAAAGGTATGTAAAAATGTTAAGTGTATTTTTTTTACCTTGAATTATTACGAATCCTCCATTTTCGGTACCTTGTATTACATCCAGCAACATGCTGATTCCGTCGATATGGGTTCGTTCCCCACCTTTTCCTCCGTAATGGTAATTGAAAGCCTGTATTCAACAGGCCAGCAGCATTACGTGAGCCCGAGGCTTTCCTGTGGCCTACCGATGTAATGTTTCTAAAAATCAGTCTAAATTTACTACTTCTGACAGAAAGAAAACTTGTCTGTCATGCAGCTTAAGTAACTTGGAATTACACTTGCGTACATGGCTTAAATTACAATTAATTTTGTCATTGAGAAAAGACATCCAGTTGTACCTACGTCGAAACTCTATGTCCCACAATCCCCTGTTTTTTCCAATGACAAAGCAGGGTTTTTTTAACTACTGATCACCAAATCAGAGTCAGGATCCCTTAATACTAATACGCGAATTTAGAAATGGGGATCGACTGTGTAAATATTTTCCTCCCAGGAATGGTACCGGTATAAATAATTAGGCTTCTTGAGAAGCACAATTACACGTTTTGTTGAGCGAAAGAAAACAGCAGATAATAATGTGAGAATTATTTACTGGTTAATGACACGTGTTACGTTGAACGCACGACAGTAAACACTTAATAGTACAGTGATCAAAAAGGTCAATAAGACTTTATTGCAGCTCGGCATTATCACATTTTCACTACAAAAACAAAAAGCTTCTGACAATTGGCAACACAAAGCACTGATAATGTGGAAAACGGGAAACACTTTACACGAACACATCTAAACATAAATTGAATTCCTGTTGGGAAAATACAACAAATAAATTGTTTAACCAAGAACGTAAAGGGTAGATATGTCTCTACCTATCATCAAGTAATCGTAGACATTTACTTAGCTATTTATTTAGCCATTTCGAAGCTAATATAAAATACACATATTAGCAGACTGAGAGAAATTTCGCGACGACCAAGGAAGCCGCGCAGCCCACGACGCATGTCAACTGAGAAGCAAAGAATATGATTGGCTGAGAGAAAATGACTGAATGGATTTTCCCGAAGTTTATTGGTCGCATATAAAGAATGACAATCACTCCGCCCACAATCAGTTGATGAACTACAGTTCCCGACATGCCCCAGCGAGCCGTGTTTTCTTGACCACGAGGGGCCACCCTAGAGTTAGTTGACATTGATAATGGTGGGAGTGAAGCGCGTAGATGTTACCGAGACGAATTTAGTACAACTTTTGTCGTCTGTCAGAGAAAAGGGATAATCCTTCCGATTTCCCCCGTAACTATTGCACCCAGAAAGAAAGGGGCTAAGTAGCAAACGTCTACTATCCAAAGAGACGCTGCTATGTAGCCAGTTAATTTGGATTGTGGAAGGAGCGGTTTACTTAGCTCGCAATGTAAAGCTGTGGCGAAAAAGAGACTTTTTTTTTTTTTTTTTTTACTGTTTTTATGCGACGGATTAGCTGGGAAAGGGGAGTCAAACCAAGAGTTTCGTGGATATCCCTACAGGCGGGAACCTATCCCTACCGACGCCCGGTGAATTAGTCTTTCATCGGCGCTTGCCTGCCCCTCGTCCCCCGCCGAGGCTGCAGCTAAGCCAGCCAGCCCGGAGAAAAGGACAGCAGAGCCGGGTACCGACTGTGGCTTTGCTCGAGTGACAATGCTTGAAATTATGGCTGAGCATCAAGGTGGGTCTTTTTGTGGAGTAAAGCGCTTGACTTGGATGTGCTCGGGAACTATTTTTTTTTTTTGGCTCGACGCGGCTAGCTAGCCGGCTAAGTAGTTAGACAACGGCGTCGTCGTTTTCAGTCCTGGTCTAACCGATTTAACTGCTCTTCAGATGCCGGCTCCTTTTGTCGACCAGTAGATCCTGGGCTGTTTTATCCCGTTTTATTCGATAAGCGTTGCGGCAGCTTGGCGATGCCGTGTGGGCGTCCGTGCTATAGCCAACTAGCTAAGTTCAACTGTTACGGGGCGAAACAACAGAAAACCCGCAACATTATTTTTTTCCTCACAGATGTTTAACTTGCCGCTCGCAGAAGGTCAGTCTGACTGCTTCACGCTGCGTTTTTACTCGAAACGGACATTTCGGCCCCTAAAAACGCACACAAAACTGTCAAAAGTGCCTTAAGTTTTGTTTCATCCTCTTTTTTTAGTCCTAGCTAGCCTAGCCCCTTGGCTGCGCCTGGTCCGCAACCGAGACAAAGTTAATTAAAGCACGACAGACGCACCAAGCGCCTAAAGTCTCATGCTGTTTTTCTGATATTTTACTTATTTCGTCGAAATTCTTGGCTCGTCTATTATGAGTGTCCTTTAAAAAGCAAAGCTGGGGATGGGGGGGGGGGCTGTAGCCGTTTGTTACCGCATGGCGAGTCAAACGGAGGGGGGAGGAAAAGCGTTAACCGGGCTGGCTAAAGAAAATAAAATCAACTTTCAGGTGGTCAGTTTAAAGTTTTTATGTTAACGACGGGGGCACCGAAGCCGGATCCCGCATTCCGGGAAGTCGCCGTGGCAGCCCCGCGGGGTGTCCGACGATTGTGTGTGTCTTTCGGCATTCGGTTCGTCCTCCTTCCCGGCGCCGATTGCTAGAGCCCCGGTTAACGCGGCGCTCTGCTGGGGTACCTGGCCGCCCCTCAGAGCTGCTCTTCCTCCCCCATCTCTCCCTCCATCCGGCTGGCTATGGTCCGTCGTTATGTGATGATCGCTTTTGCGCCGGATCTGTACGCCAGATGGTCAGTCGCGGTGTAGTGGACGGGGGTAGCTGGGCATGCTTTCGGGATTTAGGTTATCGCAGCTAACCGTTTAATTAACCTGCTACCTAGATTAAGCCGGGTAGCATGCAATGTAAAACGGAGACAAACCTGCGCTCTTGAGTGTAGGTTAAATGGTGTACAACTGCGTAAAAAACGATGAAGTCATTGCAATGTAACGCCGCCGACACTGGAAACTTGATTCTGCTTCGTAATTATAATTCTTTTTTCTTGTGTTTTTTTTCTCCAAATAGATACACTTCTAAAATGCAAAACAGAGCCTCTGGTAAGATCGATTTCTTCTTTGTTCGTGTATCGATTGATCGTCGCCGTGTTTTTCTAAACTCTTCTCTCCCGTGTCTAGTAGCTTTGTCCTTTAGAGGTAACTTGCATGGAGGGCGATCCCTCAAATTGTATTGCACAATATATTTCTGATCGATAAAAATGACCTCATCGAATCATAAGCATTTAGCTGTAAAGCCCTAAGGTCCAGCTGCAGTGCTGTCGGTCTCGATTTACAGTCGTGAGGAGTCTGATTTATTGTCCGAAGCACGAGTTGGAGATAAAACGGCAGCTTGGGAGATCGGGTCTGTCGCTGTTTTTACACTCGTGTTACCAGCAAGGTAGACGGGAAATGGTTCTGCTGGTTGCCGACCCTGATCTGTGTTGACTTTTTCTAGCCCTCGGAGGGGAGGAAGAGGACAGTGGAAGACTTCAACAAGTTCTGCAGCTTTGTACTGGCCTACGCTGGTTACATCCCTACTCCTAAAGAGGTATGTGTAGAGCCGCCCTCAGCATTCAGCGTTCGGTTTCCCCCTAGTACTATAATCCAAGCGTTCCGGCACTTGGGTTTTATGGTGATTCGCCTAGTATTTTGTGACACAGCGCTCTCTGCTGGTGGTTTAGTATAACAGTCCAAGTTTGGCTTGTGCAGATCATTAACTCAGGCCGTGTAGGATTGTAGATTTCCAAGAGCAGAGTTGCTGACGAATCTAGTGTCATGCCTGCAGTTGATGTGGAGGTTTTTTGTTTGTTTTTGGATTTGTGTAATGGATTCACTACAGCAATAAAACATAGTGTTTGGGTTAGTTTTGTCTGTTGTCCCAATACATTACATTTTAATGTAACAGTCTAAGTCTCTGTTGCTGTGATTGAAAGGTCCTGGCCTCAACAGAATAGTCCCATGTCCTCGGGCCCTTGAGCAAGGCCCTTAACTCCTAATTCCAGGGGCTCTACATGCTGACCGGCTCTGCTCTGTGACCTCCAAGTTTGCTCTCCCGTGTGTGTGTGTGTGTGTGTGTGTGTGTGTGTGTGTGTGTGTGGACAAAAAGAGAATCTTCCCACCAGGATTAATACTAAAGAATTACTCATTAATACCAGAGAGTCCCTTCTAAAAGAGCCAGATGAGCATTTGGTGACATGGTGGCTTGGTGCTTAGTACTGTAGCGTTCTGCATGTTCCCCATTTCCCTGTGCTTCCGAAGATAGGCTGCTATCTCACTGTGATCCTGTACTGGTTACGGTTTGATAGAAGATAGGTGGCCGACCACCCCCCTCCCCCCGCTGTTTGTCAGCTGTTTGCATGCCCTTTCCTTCAGGAAACCACCTGGTCCCCGGCCTCTTCCAGTTCCTCGGGGGCTTCAGGGGAAGGGGACGGAGCATCGGACTTGCATACCATCCACACCTTTGTGCGCAAAGCCCGTGTGAACAAAGGCAAGAACCTTCGTGGATTGCATGAGGGTGGCCCCCTGCTGGACAAGATGCGCCTGAAAGACTCGCTGTATGGGGGCCACGGCGGGGGAAAGACAGAGCGCAGGAAGGAGAAAAGGCTAAAAAAGCTGACTCTGGGGGCAAGTGAAGCGGACAGGGGGGGCAGCACTGGGGGGAAGCGAGCTCGGATCAAGCACAGTCAGAACCCAAAGTCTCCTAAGTGTCCAAAGAAGCCGAAGAACTCCGCTCAGAGTGAGACAGACTCTGAGGCGCCGCCCGTCAAGCAGGAGGAGCGCACAGCAGCGGAGGCGGCGGAAGAGGGGGATGTCGGCCCTGAGGTGCAGGTGCTGGGCGAGGAGTCGACCAGGGAGGCAGAGGCGAGCTCCAGTGAGGGCGAGACCTGGATCGCGGACGAGGACATCATGGTGGAGTCTGGTGGGTGTCTGCACAGCGCACACAATACCTGTGGAGCATGTTTGCTCAGAATTAGCGAAAGCTGGCGAGACGGACATCTGTGATCCTGCTGGCTGCAGTCAGGGCTCCTTTTCTACAAGGACACCATATTGTGTCTCTCCCAGTCCAGTAAAAGCTTTTGTTCAATAGGGGAGGGAAAATGTGTATTTTATGAATGATGGATGGTCAGGGATATCCTGTGTTTCATAGAACGAGGGCTTTAAAGCAGCTTATAAAGTTGATTTAAGTTCTGTTTTATATAAAACTCAATGGGAGTGGAACTCCTAGAATGAGGTTCTTATAAAGCACTCTCTCCTCACTCTTGGGCTCTCCAGGTGACGACTCATGGGACTTGATCACCTGTTACTGCGGAAAGCCGTTCGCCGGACGTCCAATGATCGAGTGCAACCACTGCGGGGTGTGGGTGCACCTCTCCTGCGCCAAGATTAGAAAGTCCAACGTGCCCGATATCTTCTACTGCCACAAGTGCAGGGACTGCCGCCAGGACAGACGTTCTGGGCACAAGAAAGACACTTAAAATGTGGGAGGAGTCGTCCTGCCGCGTCGTCCCACCCCTTTACCTTGGGGGTAGAACATTCCCCTTTGTGTTCTAAAGTGGTCCTTTTTTCAGAGGAACTTTTTCATCTCCAGTGCTAAGTATTCCCAGATCTTTGTTGGAAGCTCCATGGTTTGTTCTATTGTCAAACTGAAGCTCTAAACTAGTTTAAATTGGGGGGAGGGAGGGGGGGGGACCCACAATCTCATTCGCAATGTCTCATTGTGGCTTTCACTCAGCAAGGCATGGTCCGAAACTCCAAAAACCGGAAATCCTGACTTGAAAATCACAATCAGAAGACTGCATTGTTTAAGCTTTGCGGTACACGAGTTGCTGGTGTGCTACATAGCTCACATACTATTGTTACATCCAATGAGATTTCTGGAATAGACACTGCATTTGAACATGGGCATTTATAGAAATATATCAAATTATTTTGAGCTGCAAATTTTCAAGATATGCCTTGTTGGGGAAAAACAAATTTTCATCCGTATAATCTTATTAGAATGATGACCAAGATAAAGCCAGAATCTCAGAAGTCTGTAACCAAAGATTATAAATTTCATCCACAGGATTTGCTGTGTTTAGTTCATAAACTTGTTATAAATGCAGCATAAACTCCTTATAAATGCAGTTTCTCCAGGAATGGTTTGAGTAAACCGTTTGTAAGGTTCCTCATATTTTTCTGCACTTGGGTTTTTTTTTTCCTTTTGATTGGTAAACATTGTCCACCCACCCAGAAATGTCACCAAAACTAACTTTTTATTTGTGATTGTTAGTGTTTGTGCTTTTGTTTCCTCCCTTTCCCCCTATTCAGAAGTTTTATTAGGTTTTTAAGTTCTGTGACTGGTGACTCTGCCCTTCTGCCATGAAGGTGCTCAGGGCTGACCCCATCACGTACGAGCTGGGAAACTGATCTGTCCATTGACGCTTGCCTCAGCAGGTGCGGTTAGTGTGTGTCTTTCACAAATTATTCTGTCAAGTCTCCTGGGCTGCTGTGCTGAGTGTCAATGTTGCGTCATAACCTCAAGTCCATCTACTTTTTTTTGTTGTCTTTTTGACACATTTTCAACCTAGTTTTTAGGGCCCCCAGCCACAGACAATTTTGCAAGTCGTCATAATTAGCGAACTCTTAATGACCTGCATGTGTTTGGGGGTGGGGCACTCTGAATGGTAGGATCACAGAATAGTTTTTATATATATATATATATATATATATATATATATATATATATATATATATATATATATATATATATATATATATATACATAAAAAATAGTAAAATGTCTCCTTTCCGAACTTTCGTTGCTTAGCGTCACTGTCCTTCTCAGGGGAGGAGTCCAGCACCGCGTGTGAGCTGAAGGGTGCACCATCTGCTGGAGTGACCCCCACCCCCCTCCCCCGATTATCCGAGGCAGGACTTTGAGTTCAGGGCCACGTGTGAAAAGTCGGATTGGAAATCGATCCCATTGCTACGTCAGTTTCAGCTGGTCTGCTCTCGCCTCATGTTATGCAAATTCTGCTGATTTGACAGGATTGTATCTTTTTGGGGTTTTGTTAAGAGAACCCGTGAGTTTTTCTATTATTTTACTGATTTCCGTTTTTAAGGACTTGACCAGTACAGTGCTGCAGGTTGCCCCCAAAACAGAGACTGCAGGTTTGCCCCTGTCAAGCATTATTTTCCTTTTTTTTTTTTGTACAGAAATGAGTGATGCTACTGAATTCATGTTTTTTTTCTCTCTCCATTTGTTTGGGGGGCATGGTTTAGTTCCCCTATGAAGCCTATAACTGGCACTCCTTCCTTTGCAGTGCTCATGACTGGATATATTCCCCATCCCTGCCTTTGATCTGTACATATAGCGAAGTGAAGAAGTGGAAGAACAATTGTTTTTGCCGTCTTTTTTTCTTTTGGTGGGAGGGTCGTGGATTGTACTCATGACAATGAATGCACTTGTCAGTTATTTTTGAGTTATTTCGTTTATTTTGTTCCATGATGAAACCTAACAATCACTGTATTTATGAATACATGTCCACTAGAGGGAGCAACGTTCAACATTACGACATACTTGTATGACATAAATACAAATAAATAATACATTTTGTTGACTTCAGCTGCCATCTGTGTCGAGAATTACATTTTCTTTGTAATTCTCCCGTTAGAAAACTGTTATAAAACAAACAAATAAAAGGAAACAAACTATTAGTAAAGTTGAGTGAGGAAAGGGGATCTGTCATGGCTCACAGTAAGATCGGCCCAAGGAATTGGTCACTCTGATTGCACGGTGAAGGTTTTATTCAGGGTACTTGTGGTTTTCTGGGTCCTCCTGCAAAATAAGCTCAAAAGTTAGTGTCTGTTTGTGTTTTGGCAGTATGACTGCTAAAGAATTACCCAAAAGAACATCCAAACCTGGATGTACAGCACTGCAAAAGTCTCAGGCAAAGAAAATATTATGAAAGCTATTTATCAGACTAGTAAGTCTGTATTAGCTTTAAAAACAATTTAATGCTGCAATATATGCAAGTTAAGTGTGACAACAAATTTCACCACCAGCTCACTTCGTTTTGAAAAGTCAATGAGGTATTGCTTGACCAAATGTAGTATTGCCTAAGACTGTACATTACTGTATGTATGACGTGTAAGTTTGGATTGCAACTGTAGGTCAGTATCGTGCGACCCCCACCTTTCTGCTGCGTAGGGTAGAAATGAAGGTGCTGCCGATTGTGTCTAAGGGGGTGCTTACTATTCTCCTGTGGGTGAGAAATGGGGTTACATTCAGGCAGCGATGTGAACAGTGAGACGGGGAGAGCTACAGACAACATTGTGAGCATCGCCAAGGAGGACGCAGTCATTTGGGGAGAGCTACTAGTGCTATATTGAACATTACTGAGGAGGACCTACTTGTTGCCGCACCTCACCTCTTGTCCTTGGTTTTTCTGTGGTGGGTGCTGTGATGCTGTACAGACAGGCGCTCCAGCGGGGCATGGAAGGGCCTGGATTGGCGTGTCCCCCTGTCACGGGCACTCTCTGCAGCATCCAGTGGGAACTGGTCCCCCAGGTCGGAGATCTCCGACAGATAGAGGGACAGCTCGTAGTCCGGCCAGTTGCCATCATCCTGGTTGTACAGTAGGTGTCATGATGGTTAAGGGCTTGTATCGCTGTAACAGCTGATCAGTAAAACACTCCTGTGCCCTTTTCAGAAAGTTAGTTAATCTGCTGTATTTATTTTGAATTTTATGCCTCTGGGTAAAAGTGCATTAGCGGGTTAGTTATGACCTTTGTAAAAAACAGAATTTACAGATAATGCTATCTTTATTTTGTAATTTGAAAAAGGCATGAAGCAAACATGAGATCATGGATCCCTCTATAAGGTCCGTCTGTACAGAAACGTTGGTCACAAAGCTGAGGATTTTTTTGTGAGCTTACTCTCTTCTGCCGAATTCGGTGAGGCAGCAGGAAAGCGGACAGCTCTTCCAGGGACAGGTAGAGAGCCAGAGCGGCCAGCAAACACCTGGGATGCAACATCTGGAGAAAGAACAGCATGATGGGAAAGTGTCTGAAAATGGGCTTACGGGGTGACCAATATGAATCGTCCTGAAATGCGAGCTTCAAACGGACTTTCTATGTTACAAGTGTCATCTATCAGCTTATTTCACAATGCATTCATTACAAGTCGGCTCTGAATCTACTGGGGCACAAAAAGAAAATGCCACGAGGAGTTATGAAAGAAAGGGCAAAGTTCAGTACACTTATCAAGGGTAAATGTGATGAGAAAACAATCACATTGTCATAGTGAACAGTGCAACATGACACTAGAAGTGTTTGTACCGGTATTAAATACATAACCGTTACATACTCTTCATATACTACACACATGAAGATGCAGATGAAAGCCTTACCTTGATTACTCTGTTTAAGAAGTGGCAAAAACCAACGGCTCCTTGCTTTCAGTGTCTCAGTTCTCTCCTCTCTTGTTCCACGCTGTGGGTGTTTGCCCAGTTTTTGTAGCCTTGGACTTGGGGTGGGTTTATATGTAATGAGGACGGATGGGTGGTTATTTGGGGGGGGTGGTGCGTGTACGAGACGATGTGACTTTAAGCACAGCAATTACAGCCCAAAGCACTGCCTGCCCCCCCCATTGAACTTGGGGACAAAGCTTTTAGGCCATCACCACCACGGCCCCCGCCCCCTCCCAACAACTTTCTCATCAGCTGAGGAGGAACACAGATGACGGTGCGATTAGAACGTCGCCGTTGATGCTGAAGAGCTTTGTCTAGACTTCTTGGGCCAGGTTGTTCAAAAAGTCTAATCTGGATCACAATGATCCGGATTTTGAAATCCCTTGATTTGGCATCCAGGATCATGTAATCCATCATACTTACATCCTGGTTTTTCAAAGCAAAATTGGATTGGATTACTCTGATCCAGATACAAATTTAACAAAATTAGCAAATCTGGATTACCAGTGTTTTAAATCTGACTACATATTCCAATGTAAATTGCTAGCTATGTACAGAACAACAGGTAGAACAATCAGTGTGGAGTCACTTTAAATTCTGTTATTTGAAGAGACAGAAAACGGCACAATAAAATAATACAAACATACCCTTTCTATTTTCAGTTTCTTTTGAACTGTCAGACCCCTCACCTGACCAGCAACAAATATACATTATTCAGGAATACATTGTAAATATTTTGAACACGTTTAAAATCAGAAAAAGGCTAAATGTCCAATGTTAATAAGGAACCACAATCTTAGATTACTTGTGACTGGTTCCTTGATGGTTATTAACATGCAGCGATGAATGACAATTCAAATTAAATGTATTTGTATGTATTTTATGGGGGAAAAAAAGACACTTTTTTGTTTTTAGTTTAGTGTCCCTCATGTCTGCCTTATCACTGTAATGGCTCAAGTGCAAAATATAAATAAATGTATATATTACATGATGCAAATGTATTTCCTGAATCCACCCTACTGCTGTGATCAGAATAATCCAGATTTTTTTGGATCAAAGTTAGCCCAATCCTACCAAAAAGACTTGAACATGCAAACTGAGGGTTTGATCTAGATTAAAACCAAGACTGGATTACATGATCTGATTTCAGAATCCGATTTTCACGATTTGATCCAAGTATCCAAAATATGATCAGATCACTTTTGGACAACTGGAATGAAGGATGGAGGTGAATGGTCATGTCTCTCCCATTTCATGTTACAAGTGAGAGAGAAAATATCTCTGTGTAAACACTCTTATGGAAGAACTAGTTAATCAAGGCACTGTGTGTGAATCGAGGAGTACTGCTTCATTGTAGGATAATAGAATGGTGATCCATTGGGCCATTAAAAAGCTGTCCGTGAAACCTGCTGACCCCGCGGATTCCTATTTATCTGAAATGCGATCGTGAAAATGTGATATGGAGAGCGAGAGAGAGAGGAGGCCGATGTACTCGTGCCATGTGTGTGGCCATCGGATATAGATAGCCGTCTCGATTTGCTCAGTTTGAGTGGCCGATCGCTATCAGCAGCGTGCAATCCTCAATGGTGCCGATTGCCCGCCGCTCAGGCACGGGAAGAAGGAGCAGAAACACACAAACACAGAAGGAAATGAGCGATGGGGAGGTGCGGGGAGAGGAGGAACTGGGGCGGGGGTCCTGAGAGGAGCGTACCAGCACTCCAACACGTTCTCGCTCTTCCCTCGTCCCGCCCTCAGTGCTAATTAAGTCTATTTTGGGCCCGGGGGACAACTAAACATAGCGGCATCGCTGACAGATAGCCCACTCAAAAATAAACCGAGGAGCGGCCGGTCCCTGCTCTGCACGGCCCCGCCCCGCCCCGCCATCCAGAGGGGCTGAGACCAGATAGGCAGAGCTGATTAGGCTAATTGTCCGAGGAGCGCCCCGTGCCTCGGGGGTCGCCTTGTGTGTGCCGCCGGCTCATCCCCAAACACCCACCCCCCCGCCCCCGGTTTCTGCAGCCCTATAAGTACCAAGGGTCACGGACCGGGCCGAATTTAGAATGAACCGGCAGCCCGCGTGCACAGGCAACAGGAGCATGCAGGGTCAGCCGATCACCAGCACGCTGGCCCTGTAATCATCTTCACTGATGCTATCGACTGGTGTTACCCAAGTGTATCAAAAAGCAGGATGTGGTTACGGGAATACTGTCCTCATGGCGGTAAGATTCAGTGCCTCCAGAAGAAGGGGAAGGTTACCATTGAGGTTACTAATAAGATTTATAATGCAATGATGTACACTACAAAAGTAATGCCCCATCTCTGTGGTTCCCGAGATAAGCCCCAAGCCCACAGGAATCCTACACTGGATAACTAAGCATAAATGGTCAGGATGGATGGACAGATGAATGGATGAGAAGCATAGAAAGTTGCATCATAATCACCTGGACCCAGCTGTTTACCTAGATGTGACCTGTTGTTGTTCACATAGCTAGTAGCCTATGTTGTGTTATGCTGCCGCATTTAGAACATTGGTAATCCAGATTAGGTAATCGTGAAAAGAAGTAATCTGATTGGATTTTAGATATCAGGTTGGATCAAATATTGAAAATGAGTTGTTCAAAAGAAAAAAAAATTATTCTTAAGTCAGATTAGATAATGTAGTCCTGTCCTGGTTTTGATCTGGTTCAAACCTTGAGTATCTGCGGTTCAAACATTTGTAGGACTGGGACATCGTTGTTCTAAAAAAAAATCAGGATTACCCTGATCCCAGCCGAAGGGTGGATTTCAGGAAAAAAAATTGGAAAACTTTTAAACTGTTCAAAAAAATAATAAATAAATAAATAAATAAAACAAACAAAAAAAATACAGCATTTGTATCATGAAATGTATACATTTATTTATATTTTGGACTTCAACCATTACAGTGGTAAAGTAGACATGAGGCACACTAAAGTAAAAAAAGAGTTAAAAAAAAAATACAGTTACATCCCTTATTATTGTTAACTATTGAACATTTAACCTTTTTATGATTTGAAACACATGTTCAAAATATTCACAATGTGTGAACAATGTATATTTATATTTGTTTATTTGTTGTTGGTTAGGTGAGGGGCTCTGACTGTTTAAAAGAAAATGAAAATATTTTATTTTATTGTGTTGTTTTCTGTCTCTTCAAAGAACAATACTTTACCTATTGTTCTTTACATAGCTATCAGTCTACATTGGAATACGTAGTCCGATTTAAAACACCTGTAATTTAGATTTGGTAATCTTGAAGAGCTTGTATCTAGACCTGCCTGAAGTCTTCAACCATCATCCCCCATCCCAAGAAAGACCCCTCTTGGCAACTTGATTGACTTCCGTCCAGTGGCGCTCACTCTAGTCATTATGAAGTGTTTCAAGAAACTGGTCAGAAACCACATCATCAAAAGTCTTCCATCTGCATTTGACCCGCACCAATAGGTGTACAGGAAGAACAGGTCGACAGAGGATGCCATAGCCACAGCCCTACATATAACTCTGACCCATCTGGAGCAGAAGGGGAGCTATGACAGACTTCCATTCATTGACTGCAGCTTTGCCTTCAACACAATCATCCCAAACAGACTGGTAACTATATAACACAACCTTGTTTCCCACACTCCACCTGCCTCTGGTTTAAAAAATTTCTAACTGACCGTGTCAAGGTAGACTCTCACCCCTCCTCAGCACTCAGCCTTGGCACTGGCTCCTCACAGGGATGTGTGCCCCCTACTGGACACTCTCTATACCCATGACTGCATCTCCACCCACCCAAGTGATGCCATCATTAAATTTGCAGACGACACGACCGTGGTCTAGCTCATCTCAGGGGGCGGACGAGACTGCATATAGGGATGAAGTGGCAAGACTGTCAACATGGTGCAGCAAGAACAACCTGACCCTCAACACCACAAAAACCATGGTGGACTTCAGGAGAGACAGATCTGTCCCTCAGCCCATATACATCAACGGAGACTGTGTGGAGTGGGTCCCAGCCTTCAGGTTCCTGGGCCTGCATCTGGAGGAGGATCTGACCTGGAAAACCAACAACAGTGCTCTGATGAAGTCGTTGCTGTACCTTCTTTACATTAACTTAGCTGAGAAGTTGCTGGTGTCCTTCTACAGGTGCTCCGTAGAAAATGTGTTGACTTACTGCATCACTGTGTGGTTTGCCAGTTGCACTGCAGGAGAAAAAAAACTGCGCTGCAGAGGGTCTTTAACTCAGCCAAGAAAATCACCGGCTGTGCTCTCCTGTCCCTAGAGGAGCTCTACAGATCCCGCTGCTACAGAAAAGCCAGCAGCATCCTGGAGGACACATCACACCCAGCACATCACCTGTCTGATCTGCTGCCCTCAGGCGGGCAGTACAGAGCAATAACAGCTCATACAAACAGACTGAAAAACAGTACATAGCCCAGGGCCATCACTGTTATAAGTAACAAACTGAAATGAATGATCATCCAGTCTCTCACTGTGCAGCTCTGTTACTCTGTGTAATATTGCTCATTCACTACAATGTATGTTTGACTTTAAATATATTACCTTACCTCTCACTGTCACAGTTGCTGCATAATGCACTGCATACATTTACTGCTTTTTATATAATTTATTGTTCTTATATGCTATTTAGAAATTTTTATTTTGACCTTTTTGCACTGAAAGGGACTGCATCTAGTGTCGTTGCACAATGGTAATAAAGATTCTGATCTGATCCGAAAATCTGATCCGATTACTTCTGAACAACCGGGCCCAGCTGTTCAGCAGAATATCCCGATATTGCTGAAAAGAGAAGCTGGTGGCTCTCTTGAAGGAAAGACCTCCAAGCCAGTGGTCACAAGTTATTTGAGTTTGGGACATTGATTGCTTAAGCTAGAAGTTTGTAATTATTGTAATAACTATCAGACAACCTGCATCATACAACTAAGAAGTGCATTCCGCCTTGTGAAAGCTAAGGAGATTAGTTAGATCCAGTGGCTTTTTGCCTTCCTACCACAAGGTGGCATCGTGACTCAGGAGGTAATCAGGGATTCCTTCGGCAGGTATAATAGTGGCTGCCATTGCCGCAGGAATTCAATGGTGCTGACAGTCTGCCCCGCGATTGTGTGCTGATCACCTCTGACGCAGGCTGCCCCGTAACTACAAAGAAGCTGCAGTTTACAATTACAAAGGAAATTAATTAAATTGTGCTACATATATAGTTTCAGGAGATGACTGCAAACACATTTTATGGCTTAAAGGCTAACAGAATGTTGAACATTCTCTGATACAGCTCTGGTTCAAAGTAAAATACAATCTGGCAATGACTCACCACATTCATCATGACGGCTCCCTGGATGTGACGTTGCTGTTCAGATAGGCCCGAGGGGCTGAGAGACAGACGCACCTTGTATCCATACCCATACGTACGACATTGGATAAGTTCAAATTTAAATGACACTGAATCAATGCACCTGTACGTTTAACGTTTTTGAACACATGAAGTGCCGTTCAATGAGTCCAGCTGCATAAAAGCGGCTTCTTTCACGTCCTCCTCCCGCACGTTCTTAGTTTGCTCCCGTCTATTTCGGTTCCTCAAAAGCCCGCTAGTGAGGCCGGCAGGTGGCAACACTAATTCTTTTCTTTTTATTATTATTATCAACAGTTACAAATTACAATAGAAGTAAGTCTGCTTGATATCTTCTACAAAATATAAACACTGCTTTTCTTTTGGTGGAATCACGGATACCCCTGACATTAACTGAGCAAAGTGATAAAGACAAAGTGAACGAGAACAAGACCTTCTTGGATCAAACATTAAAGTAGGTTGCTGTATACCTGACTCAAAGGGGGGTCTTTGCCTTCCATAATGCTCAAATCCTAATGGGAGAATAACCAAAGCAACTTCTAACATTTTTCTCCTCTATTAAATTTTAAAGACAACCATAGTTAACATAGTTAACAAACTTTCACATTCCCCAAGGAATCTTTTGCATAACGTATCTTCATACATCAGACTTACGCTATATTGAACAAAACATTTTGAAATAATACATCAATTTGGTTTAATTTCTACATCATCAATAAATGCCCTACTTTGCGTCCCTTCTCTCGAGCTTCCTTGATTTGCGGCCATATAACAGATGTCGCGTCTCTATATCCAGCGTAGTTAAAGCTCCTCGGTAAACCGCTTCAGTCTTCAGTAAGTCGCATCTCTTCGCTTTTCTCAAATATAGTCACGAGGTGATCGACTGGCGAATTGGATTATTGTGGTTCTCGGATACCGCTGCTCCGTCCTACAAGTAACATCTACCTCTGCGGTTAACTTCTCTTTAATCTCCGGAGCGACCGTTCTGCAGATATTGATGACTGTATCTTTAATGTTTTCCTCAGCCTTTTCGGGAATCTCAGACTGTGTCTTTCTGCTTCATTTAACTTCACCTCCAATTCAGCTATCCTAGCGTCATTCTCTTTGGTCGCCTATGTCGCTGTGTTCATGCCGAATTTCAGCTCCTTTATTTCATTCATCGCAAATCCCACTGATTACTATGGAAGCCCGTTTCCGCCACCTGAGAAAAAATAATATAAAAGTTAAGTCGAAATTTCGACTTAGTATCTCGAAACAAGTTTCTAGCTTTAATAACTTTTCACGGAAGTATGGTGGGGCGTTTTTAATGACAGAATCGTGTTGTCCAGTACACAGACAACGATGCACACCGATTACGAAACAGGTAATCAAGCAATTCAGCTGTGATACTTCCCCCTGACATATACAGGTATTCCTTTAAGTATTCCTTTAAGTTGCCAATGCTCGTTGAATTTTTCCAAATCAAGTTTTCCAAATTATCCTATATTTCGTTGATCTTTCTGGAGAGAAGCAGCACGGAGTCTCACTGTCGGGGTTGGTTTCGGCTTTTTATCAGACGCATAACAGCTACTGGTCTGAGTTTAAGGATGTACTTACGGCTTTCTCTTGTCCTTTATTTCCCCTCTTTTTCCGTTTAAGAGTAACACTGTTTTTCCACAATCAGCATGGCTGCGCATGCTGTGATGATAGTGATAAAAGGAGGCACAGGGAAGGCAGCCGGGGTCCTGACGGATTTTGTGGAGCATCGGCGGGTATATTGAATGGGAGCATGGGAATGGGAGCATGGGAGGCCTCCTGTTGTTTATTTGGTTTGGTATGTATTTCTGTACTGTTTTTGTGAGATTGGAGTTTGTAACGTTCAAATAGTTTCGTTTGGATGTAATTGTAATTTTTCGTTTGTGTCTTTTTTTGTTTCCTTAACAGAATGGGGCGCTGAGTTGCGGGGTGAACTGCTGTTCTTTATGGATTTGTAAGGTGCAATTACGGGTCGTTGCTCTGAAGGATCTACATGTAAACCTCCCTGGTGTTGCTTGAATATCTTTTTTTGATCCGAGATTGTATTGTGTATTATCTAGCCATCCAGCTTGGTGGCTCTGGTAGTGGAGTGTAGCCGGAGCGGCTGGCTAGTTTTATTTTTTTTGTTTCCCAGGACGTGTCTATTCTGTTGAAAAAAGTGTGTGTGTGTGTGTGTGTGTGTGTGTGTGTGTGTGTGTATATATATATATATATATATATATATATATATATATATATATATATATATATATATATATATATATATATATATATATATATA